ACTCATTCTCAAGAAGCCACCTCGAGTAAACCGCCTTTGGCAGTTGACCCGTAACATACGGGTTAACTACTAAAGGCGGTCTACTCGAAGGGCTTCTTAAGAATAAGTAGTTTTAAGAGGATTAGGGAAGGGGCTCTATATTCTAATAGGTAAGTTAGTAATATAAGTTTAATACGAGTAGATATAAGGTCTACTCGTCCTACCTATATATATAAGTTAGGTACAAAAGAGATATACGTATACGCGCGCCTATAGTTGTTTACGCGCTATGTACGCGTTATAAAAGACAAGCGACATCGTAAATATCGCTTCTTCGTACTTTGTTACGTATCTTTTATTACGTAACGTTTAGGGTTAAGGTCGCATAATGTTGTCTAAGGAATAAGTAGCCCTTATTCCTCTATTTCCTACCCAGCTTTACTAGTTCCCTGTGCCTCGTTACGGGATTGTAACAGGTAGTAAGGTATATACTATTCTAAGTATATATCCTCGTATATAGTTAATTAATCTTAAGAAGGATTATATATCCTTAACTATCTTAGGTATTAGCTATTCGATAATTAATTTAGTTTTTCTAGGATTAATTTTAATTCCGTTAATACTAATAACGAATCCGAGGAACTCGATTTCCTTCTTATACTATACAGCGTGATGACGGCAAAACTGCGCCCAATTAGGGCAACCCCTGCAGACGAATCCGGGCGCAGATTCGCCCGCCGTCGCCTCCCTTTCCCGTCCATCCCGCTGGCCTGCTGGGCATCTCCAGTGCGGCACAGCATCGTCGCCTTCACCTTGCGTGACAGCCAGGAGCGACGCAGCTCATGGACGGACAATATAGAGGGCCTCGCGCCCGCCCGCTGGCCATGGACGCCCCGCCCTTCGTTGTCCGCAGAACAAGAGCCCGAGCCAGGCTTCAGACCACGCACCCTCCCTTCGACGTTCGGTTATGAGCACGCGATTCTCCGAGTGGACACGACCCTAGACGAGCAGTAACATGGTCGAGCGAGCTCCAGCGACTGCTAAGAGCCATTATGATCCCACGCGGACGAAGAAAATTTATTCGGAAAAGAGCCAGGAGCTTCAGAGATGGATCAAAGAGCTGTGGGACAGGTAGGGATGAGCTACATCTGTGGTATCGAAGCACATAGGGGTCTGACGGCTGTCCAGGTACTGCACCACCTACGAGAAGGACCCAAAGACGACCCTACGCACTTTCCTCACCCCTGATCTCTATGATTTCTTCCATTAGATGCTCCGTAAGCGGAAAGGTCGGATCCGCAAGGCAGGCACTATTCAGACGTATTGGAACACCTTGACCCTTGTCCGACAACTGGAGACAAAGCAATTCGAGATCGCGCCGCAGGTGCAAATCGAGATGTGCGGGGTATGTTAGTCTTCTGTATGGGCTCGTTCGGCGCAAGACGTCGGGGCTGACGATACCGCAGGCGCGACAGCACCTGGTTAATGAATTTGGTCTGTCGACGGAGAAAGAGGCGAAGCCGATCATGCGAGCTGAGGATGAGTTTGAACTGCTTAAGACGCTCTGGGAGTCAAGCGAAGTGGAATTGCAGCATGAACGCCTCCGAGTCCAATTGGCGCTTATGATCCAGCTGGCTAGCATCACCGGCAACCGCCCAGGCGCGCTGCGTCGCATGCAATACAAAGATCTCAAGATCGCACTGCTGCCAGATCCCGCTGGTGGACCCCGCCCGAGGCTGGTGATGGATTTCACCTTCCGACATACGAAGCGTTATCTCGGGGTGAAAGATCCGTGAGCATTTCTTAGAGTGCATTCCTTAATGTCTATCTGCTGATCACGCCGACAGAAACACGTTTCCTGTCCCGGACATCCCTCAAGAAGCATGTCTCCTACTCTGCCCACAAACAATGCTGCTCGGGTTGCTCTTCGCCGACAGTGTTTCTCTGTTCCAAAGCAGGTTCATATACACAAAGGCAAAATCAGACTCAGTAGAGACCGCACGATACAGGTGTGTAGATTCGTCGCGTAGTTATAGAGGCTACGCACATACGCATGTATATAGACAAAGACAACGAGGTGAGATGAAGAGAGGAGAGCTACTTTTACATAGCCGTCCACTGCATAGCTGCCGACAGGGCGGCGACAACTCCTGGAAAGGCCACTGTACGGAAAGTCAACTCTCTATAAAAAGACAAATCTGTACAGAAAGTCAACTCTGTACAGAAAGACCACCCTGTACAGAAAGACCACTCTGTGCGGAAAGACCACTCTGTGCGGAAAGGCCATTCTGTGCGGAAAGACCACTCTGTGCGGAAAGGCCATTCTGTGCGGAAAGACCACTCTGTGCGGAAAGGCCATTCTGTGCGGAAAGACCACTCTGTACGGAAAGACCTTTCTATGCGGGAAGACTATTCCGCACAGAACGATCTTTCTACGCAGAAAGATCTTTCTGTACGTAAATACTATGGTAAGTCTCTTCCGCACAGAATGGTTTAGTATGTAGAACACGAATTTCAGACTTTTGCTCGTTGTAACCGTATAGGAAGACCATTCTGGACACGTGAGACCGTACAGAAAATGGGTACCATACGGTCAATGGGAGTTGCAAGCATTGGTCCGACATATCCTGCTCGAATGCAGGGACTGGATTGAAGAACGACCAAAGATGTGGGCAGGCAAGCTTCCGTGTGTGGACATCAAACACATTCTCGGCACTCCCGCAGCAGCCGTCCCCGCGGCAAAAACGATCTTACAGACGGGGCTGCTCGGCCAATTCCAAGCAGTCCCGATCACGGTGTTACAATACGTCGCGTAGACGAGTGAATATGTTTTACAGAACAACAGGAGGATCCGTAAGGGTCTGACGAGATGTAATAGAGAGTAACTTTATAGAAGCTACATATATGTACATGTATATAGAGAGAGACGACGAGATGTGGAGCGAGGAGATGGGGTACCTCTATATATAGCCGTTCGCTGCATAGCTGCCGACAGGGCGGCTGGGACAGTCTATGACATAAGCAATCAATCAATCAATCGAGGGTAACCGGTCGAGGATGACCGTACGGTCGAGGAGAATGACAGGCATCGAGGGTAACCGCGCGGTCAAGGAGAGATCGCAGGCATCGAGGGCAACCCTGTCGTGCCTCGTCCCTCATAGACACAAGATGACAAAACGCGGGACGACACAGAATTTTGCTATGTTAGAAACACGAAGAGTCACGATTTCAAGAAGGGAGCACCCGGCAGGCAGCATTGTTAATTAGCCTTAAGATCCATCGCTGCTAGTCTCCGTTACAAGCTCCAGCCGCGCCTCTTTCTCCGCGAAGCTTGACGTCTAAGGAGATGAAAGCTAGCAAAGTGCCTCGCCGGACGAGCACAGTCCTGGCGATGCTCTCGGTCGACCTGCCATCTTCGCGCACTATTTCTGGTAAGAAACACGACCGCATCGACGACGTTTTGGGTCGAATGCATATTCATGGATTACTCTCTCAATAGATTCGCTACTTTGACAACGCTGAACAATATATAAACGCACGTGTACGCACTGGGATGAGCACGGCAGGATGGAGCAGTTACATATCTCGGTAGGGCACTGGGGGCTCTGGTACCTGCCCCAGTGTCCTACACCAGTGCCCTACCCCAGCGCCTTCCCCCTGCCTCAGTGCGTGGCCCAGTGCCCGCCCGTAGAGTCATCGAGAGGCGCCGACTCTTGCCTATCTGAAGGCACAGCATAAGCGCCCGGCAGGCGGATTTGCCCGAAGTCGATTCTCGACAACCCCGACCTCATCACAGGATCCACTTCGACGGCCTACAAGGCGGCGTAATACTTTCATCGAAGCCGCGGTCACCGGCGAATATTCCAGTCGTGTCATTGAAAAACAGCTCGTCAGTCACGCACTGGCTGAATCAAGACCCTCTTCCATATGGAGCATCCTTAGGTCATGGGAACGGATCCCTCAAGCCAGTGCATCCCTTGCGCTTCGCGAGAAAGCCAAGATCGACCATACTGCAACACCCTTTCTTGGCTTGTCGATTCATGGTATCGATGGCTTATGATAATATAATGTTGTCACTAGCATACAGATCATGGCCTCACGGGGGCTCGACTTGACTCACAAACTAATGCGAAGCCTTTCTTCAAGCCATGCTGAATTGTGGAAAAAGGGAAAGTCTGCCAGGAAGAGACGTGCATCAACGTCCAACCCGAAATTTGTCGGGCGAGAGAGCTTCAAATACCAGAGCAGAGGACTGTGCAGCGGCAGAGTGCCAGCTACTGCATGAATTCTCACTGGCTGTCATAGCCGGTGAAAATTCGAAGGGGAACGGGAGCGCACAGCCTCTAATAGATCATCAGCACGAAGACTTATTATCTGGGAAGCAGATGACTAGGTCATCAAACCAAGTGCGAGCGAATAAGCATGCATTTGATGGATCGAACTTGCTTCTCGACGCTCCACTCGCAGACGATGACACATCCAGCTATTATTCGGCCGATGATGGCTATTGCATGCAGTTGGAAGAAGTTTCGAATCGCCACGAACAGCTTGGAGAGCAGCTTCCTGATTGTGAAAGAAGCGAGCAACTAGCAGAAGACAGCGCTGATGTGACGTCGATTCATGGCGTCAAATTTGCTGCTCGAAAGCGCTGTGTTCCTGTAAACAACGTGAATATGCGTGTCGAAAGAGGCACGAACCAGAAGACGTCTCGCTTCGGAAGAACTCTTATCCACCCTCTGAAGTTTTGGTTAAACGAAGGTTATCTCTGGAAGCACGGTATCATTCAAGGCATAATCCGAGCAGAGCTGGTGAGACAAGAATGATCAACATCGAAGAACCACAGGGTAACGTGAACAATGCACTCAGACATCAGCTACTCAGAAGCATTTCATACAACTGGCAAGTCCCCTTCGAACTTGTGACCTGCGAATGCAAGCCGGTCCCAAACAAAGATGAAATGCTTCAGCTCGATCCCAACATGACGTATGTTCTTGTTATTTACTACTAAAATCAGCCTCTGAGTTCTCATTGTTTTTTAAATAGCATCATCCAGAGAATTCATATCCACGGGCAGGTTTGCTTGCAAGACACGTAATTAATTACCTTGGTGTCATAGAAGAAGCTGACGCTTTGATCATATTCAAAATTCGAGTCCTCTCCATTATCCAGTGATCTATCGTTGTCGTCCCAGCTACTGTGGCTGGATGTGGCGTGAGGTTTGCCCACTCCTGCACTGCCGTGCTCTTCAAATTTTATCATCACAAAATCTCTTTGCACAAATTCTTTGATAAGAGAACAAGCTGCTTGATTAAGAGTTGATTCCGTTGGTGCGTTATGGCTACATGATGCTTAAGATGTCAGATAACTCCCGAGCACAAGTGAAATAGGGTGAGCAATCGATATATACTAAAATTAGCTTGCAGAGAGCCCTGAACGTGGAGTCGACTAGTGAGGCACGCCGCAAGTCGAGGCGGTCTTTTCTGCACAAGCGACGGGCTCTTCGCAACCCCGCTAGTGCAGCCTCTATCACCGACGTCAACCCTGCATACCATCGCAGCCCGCATCTCATCGCACATCAACACCAACTTCGCTGCACTCCTTTTTACATTCATGAAAATATCTTCCATGATACTAACCGAGGTCTGGGAAGACTATTTCTGCAATGAGTCGTACCGGCGCGCGCATTCGTCTCCTCTAGCGCCTGCCGGACGGGGAAATTCAGCTGGCCGGACCCTTCGCCGACGACAGAGTCCCTGCCTATGCAATCCTATCGCATCGGTGGGAGAGTGATACCGAGCAAGAGGTGAGCTATTAGGACGTGATACAGGGCTTAGGTCGTGAGAAGAAGGGATTCTAGAAGCTCAGGTTCTGTGCCGAGCAAGCTTCCGAGGACGATCTCGAGCACTTCTAGATCGACACCTACTGCATTAACAAGTCACTCCCTGGCGAACATTAAGCGGCGATGAACTCCATGTTCCGGTGGTACCAGCGTGCGACGAAATGCTACGTGTATCTCGCGGACGTGTCAGTCGGCGAGCAGCAGGTAGCGATGGACTTCACGTTCCGGTGGTACCAGCGTGCGACGGAGTGCTACGCGTATCTTGCAGGCGTATCGACCGGTGAGCAGAACACGGTCAGCCAAAGCGAACGCACTTGGGAATCTTCTTTCCAAGCGAGTTAATAGTTCCTCCGAGGATGGACGCTTCAAGAATTATTAGCACCTCGGACCGTCGAGTTCTTCTCGCAGAATAGCGTGAAACTCGGCAACAAGACGACCCTCTAAGACGTTATCCACGCTGTCACAGGCATCTCTATTGAGGCGCTGCAAGGCAAACGATTGTCCAGCTTCAGTAAGCAAGAGCGGTTTTCCTGGATGGAACGTCGCACGACCAAGTACGAAGAGGACAAAGTATACGCGCTTCTAGGCATCTTTGAGGTCGAGCTGGTTATCCAGTACGGACAAGGATGGGCTAGCGCAATGGAGAAGCTGGAAGAGGCCATCAGTGTCCAAACTGATGTTATGCGAGACCTGCGAGTCACACATCCGTGGGAAGTCATGGTTATCATGGTGTCAACGTTAACGGGCGTTTTGAGCAGGTCATGGTAACACGGTTCTCTTTTGCTGCCGTGGACAGACAAATAAAAATTATTTGAAAGTTCCTTTTTTTGGTACCGTGTGTGGGGTTGCTTTCACCTATGTCTGTGGTTGGTCGTGAATGAATCGTGACATGGGCATTGATAGGACAGGAATCTCTCTGTAAATTCCCAGCGTGAGATACGGAAATATTGTTCACTCGATTTCATCGTTCTGGGTCGGCGATGACCAGTGAACGCTCGTCCATCACCTGCACCCCAGGGTCCATCATCGTCATAACATCGACAACACCAAGCTGATTCCTCTAGTTACAGCATCTCGATCAACAATTTTTGACACACTTGTAGAACAACAGCAAGTCTTCGGAGTAGTACGAATTAACGTTATGGCGCCCAAAGAACTCAATTTCATTACCGGCAACAAGAACAAATTGGCAGAAGTGCAGGCTATTCTTTCCGCCACGCCTGTGAAATTACAGAACCAAGCATTGGATCTCCCTGAGCTACAAGGCACAATCGAAGAGATCTCAATCGACAAATGCAATCGTGCCGCTGAAGCGGTATGACATGACGTGTACTTGCGGCCTTCGAATGGGATCATCAGTTCTAATTTCCTTGCTCCGTACAGGTCCAAGGATCCGTATTGGTCGAAGACACATGCCTCTGCTTCGACGCTTTTGATAAGCTCCCAGGTCCTTATGTGTATATTACTAAGGACAATGTGTTGTTTCGGATCGAGCATGACAGAATCAGAGGTGCTGACATCGTTCATTTCCATAGCAAATGGTTCTTACAGTCCCTCGGGGTCGAACAATTTCACAAATTACTCGCTAGCTTCGAGAACAAGGCTGCCTAAGTAGTATACACATTCGCGTACTCGGAGGGACCGGGCCATAAACCAATCATTTTTCAAGGTAGAACCCATATGAGTGACAGCCTAGCTATGTTTGCGATGCTTTGTCTTCGCTGATGCATCTTACCAGGGCACTATTGTGCCTGCTCGTGGCCCTACGAACTTTGGTATAATTCTCTATTTAACACAAGATCAATTTGTAGCTGACTAACCATTTGCACATAGGCTGGGATGTATGTTTCGAGTACGAGGGGCAAACGTACGCCGAAATACCTAAAGAAGAAAAGAACAAGATTTCGTATCGCGGAAAGGCATTGGCCAAGCTCGTCGAATGGCTTCAACAGGAAGTATAAAGTTCCGAACTCATGTCATAAATAATGTTATAACGTAATGAGTTAATTAACCGTGCAGAAATAATAGATTGTCCTCATCCCTCGTCTCGTCCGCGCCCGCAGCCTTCGCATCCCTATCCTTCCTATTATCCTTCCTCTAATTTTGTATCTACGTCTCGATCCTCTCAATATTCGCGTCGACGTCCTCCGTGCTCTTACTTCTCAGCTCGACTACAATCTCCTTATTATATGCTTCCCGCGCCTCGTTAAGCAAAACCTCTATAATTTCGTAGTTAATGTTTTCCTCTAGCTTCTTCTCGCTATAGTTCCGCGCTTTCAGGCGATCGTATAGGATTTTGTTGTCGTATCGGATCACGTAGACGAGGTCGATTTGTTTCCTTAGGAAGAGGTCGTAGGCGTGCTAGTCGATGATCTGTCCACCCTCCTCTAGATTATTTTCTACGTAGTCTAGGAGTCTGTCTTCGTCGACGATTTGCAAGTTGGGGTCATCTAGGTCATCCAAGGCTTCTCCGATGTTGTGCTTTTTAACGACTTCGTTAATGTCGAGGTAGTAGAGGCCGGTTTTCGCGGCGAGTTCTTGGCAGTGAGTAGTTTTGCCGACACCGGGAGTGCCGGTAATAATAATGTTGGGGTCAGTTCGCAGGACTGGAGCTATAGTGTATGATTTGATACTCGCTCGAGGATATTTCTTTTGGAACAATTGTGAGGGAGCTTGTTTGCGAATAGCTCGCGTGCAAAATCGTGAAAACATGAATGTTTGGATTTGCGGATTGTGACCTGTGACGTAGACAGGGCTTCGTTGGAATTCTTGAGATGACTCCGTTCTCTGAGTGATAAACCTTTGGAGAATCTTCCTCCCTCTCACTTATTGGAATGTGGAATGTTCCGCACAAAACAAAAGCGACCTAGTATGAGGGATATAATAATTTGTCGAACACAATGAGTGTCACATTACTGCACAGAGCCGTGCCATCTTTACGGACGCCTACCTGGCAAGCCATTCGCCGACAACAACAACGAGCAGTCTCAACGACGGAACTCAGCAATGGCATCAAAATCGCCTACGACTTGTATGAGCCTAATGCGAAAAAGGCCATTGGCGGTAGCCCAATCGTCTTCATTCATGGTCTATTCGGCTCCAAGCGAAATAACAGGAGCATGAGTAAGTACGCGTATTAAGCGACGCATTGCATTGAAGGGTAATTCCTAACATTATCGTTAACAGAGTCCTGGTCCGAGACCTGAACCGTCCCGTCTATGCTATCGATACGCGCAATCATGGCGAATCCTCACACACGCTAGTACATACTTACACTGCGATCGCCGAAGACGTCGAGCTCTTTATCGCCGAACACCGCCTCGAATCCGTTACTCTTATCGGGCACTCCATGGGCGCCAAAACCGCAATAACGATCGCTCTCCGCCAAGGGCAACGCGAAAGTAAGATCGGACCCAAGACCATCGCTAACGTGATCCCCGTGGACAACGCGCCCGTCGACGCGGCATTGCTCTCGTCCTTTGCGAAATACATACTCGGTATGCGACGTATTGAGGATGCACGGGTGACGAGCCTCGACGCAGCGGACAAAATTCTCCAGGAGTTGGAGGATAGCTTGCCAGTGCGGCAGTTTCTCTTGACGAATCTCGTTCGGGAGATGGATCACCCCGAGGATACTAATACGCGGAAATGGCGGATCCCATTGAAATACTTGTGGCCGGCACTCAATGCGATGGGGGATTTCCCGTTCTCGGATCCGGATGCTATACGATGGGAGGGACCGGCTTTGTTCGTCCGCGGTACACAGAGTCCCTATATAGCGGATGAGATGTTGCCGACGATCGGTAGATTCTTCCCGGGATTTCGATTAGTAGATGTGGAAGCGGGTCATTGGGTGATCAGTGAAAAGCCGGAGGAGTTCCGTGAAGGTATGTTTCGATCATGTCATTCTTTGCTGCGCAGGTAGCATGGTCCCTCTGTGAACTCATACAAGGAGATTTACGTCATTCGCTGACTTGGCTTTATCTACTTCAGCTGTGGTCGACTTTCTGCAAGATAAGGCGTGACGACACCCTTCACCGCACATCGAAGACCTGAGTGTGGCGAGATGCCAATCCACGCCGCCCTCAGTCACAGATACGGGTTCACACCAATCAGCAGCGCGAGGGATGCAACAGCATGGCGAGATCTTCGCATTCTCTCATTCGAGCCGACCTGATGCGTAAGGAGTCGGCCATTTGACGACTATATCATTATCACCTTTCACTGCGTCTATGCCTTTCCAGGCTCACAAGCTCGTAGCTTACAAGTCATCCGCCTGAGAAGCGAGAAGTACTTAGTCATGTGACAGAGCATAGAGGTATATGAAATGGTAGAGGAAGTGAGACAACGCAAGCTCAGGAACGAAGGCAGTGGCTCGAGGGGTTCACTCGGGCTGCTATATGACTGTCTCTACTCATTTCTTACAACAAATTTGATGTACAGGGAGAAAGGTTTTGGACCCGAGTCTGTACCTTATGTACATGTTCATCATTGAGCTTACGCTCAAGTAAACCCGTCCAGGAAGGTGTCCCGCTCCCAGACAGTAGGCTACTCGTCTTGCGGACCGGTCTGCGCCTTTCCAATCGAGGGCTCACCTCACAAGACCTAGCTGATTCAAGCCGACAACGTTGTCTCGTCCATAGCTGCTTGGAGCCGGGATCCTTCTTGTCGCCGTGCGAGCTCTGCTGCACGCCTGCGCTCCATGCCCTCTAACAGCTGGAGACCAAGTCCAGGCTGGTTGTGGTATATTTGTATGTGCGAACATAGAATGAGTGGGGTTAAATCATACTTGTATGACAGTGACTCGTCCTTGTCACAGTAAGAGCTCCCACTAGTGATAGCTCGCCGAATCAAGGAACCCAAGCTACGAAGCCAAGGAAAGACTTCTTGGACATACTGGCCGACTGTAATGAATTGGTATCGGGAAGGTGCTTGAATGAACAGCTTTGGCCCAGGCCCCTTCGGTGGAGCGTCGATGCCACAGGCGAAGCAGCGACGTTTCGGCAGCTGTACTGCCACCGAGGTATCCGGCGCAGGGTCGTCTTCATAGTGCAATGTGTCCCAACAGTCGTGCCAACTTTCAAGGACATCGATGTAGATGGACACTGCACTAATTGGAGATGTGCAAATTGACGCAGCTGCCACTGGTTGATTGTATGAAAAAGGCACTCCAGGACCAGTACGGGAGGTATCTGCAGGATCATCCACAACGAAAATCGCGTCGTGTACATCGCTCGATATCAGAGACCAATGTAAGCGTGAGAGTTCGAGCGAAGGCTCCACTATCTCCCATTTCCGGGCAGACTTGGCCTCTTTCTCAAGTTCAAGCATTGTGGGATATGGCCGGAGAAGAGAACCGTCCGAGTGTTCTGTGAGACTTGCTTGTGCTTCGACTTCCTGGTCTCGTTGCATGCGTCGAGCAACCTTGACGCGTTGTTGCACGTCGTGTTCCAAAGCCCACAGATCGGCTCCTGGCCTTTGGGTGTACACTGAAATGCGGTTGATCATAGGAAGCACGATTAACTCCCAAGCTGGCTCAAGAGGATCGTCGAATTGACCGATCGCTTTTCTGATCTCTTGTCTTGTGCTATACAGCCATTGGAAGACGTCCTCTACATATTGGCCAATCGAAACAAATTCTCCGGTAGGTGCCGTGATAGTCAAGGTTGGGTTGACCGGAGCATCAGATGGTTGACACCCACAAGGGTTCTCGCCGGTCGTATTAAAGTTGTAGAAATGATTGTCGTGTCCTTCTAACCATGCTTGGCGCCATGATTCGAAAGAACTGATAGAGATTGTCACGGCACCTATAGGAGTCACGCAGATAGAGCTTCGAGCAATAGCGTTAATATGGCTCCACGGCGTTTTGACGCTTTGCAGATCGCCTGCATTTTCCAAGATTTGAACAGCGTCAGACACGTCATTGCAAGAGAGATCCCACTGCAATCGCAGGAACTCAAGACTCGGAAGCGTGCCTGGGTCTTCGAGCTCGAACGAAGAATCAGAGCCGTGCGACAGGACGGCCCACGATGGGTACTCTTCCTGCATGATCACGGATGACGCGGACAGTGGACAAGCCCAGAGCTCGAAATGTGAGGCGGTGGCACTCGATGAGCCCTATCGTCGCGCAGGGTATAGATCTTTCAGAGACGGAGAGGCGGTATTTGGCAAGGATGTCTATTGTGGAAGATTTGACTTTAACACAGGAATGATGAGTTGGGGCATGAGCACTTATAATAAGTAGCACCTGGACACCTGTACACCTGCATAATAAGGTACACTCACATACATATACAGCATAGTGCATCTATTTTGAAATTTGCCCATAGGGTTACGAAGCGTAAAATGCACAGCATACATGACTGATTGCATGCCCGCCCGCCCGCGCAGGTGCACTTTGAATACAATACCTCTACAATGCGAAGTGTTCAAAATGTTATATGGCCACCAAAGGGCTCGTATTCACAAATTGTCCTTTTATGCCATCCACATCTAGATTTCCATTGCAAACTATCTTCACATTGCCAAGTACAATAGCCTTCATGTTGGTCCAATTCATCTCTGCGAGCTGAGATGCAGTCCTCTCTCTTGAGCATCAACTATTGATTGTTGTTCTTGACAATCTTGACCAAGAGACCAGTCGGTTTGGCCTTGGTCTTCTTATACTCGTCGGTGTTGTAGGCTGGGTTTGATGAATTGGTCTTGACGCCAACCATACCTCCGTGAACTCCGCAACCACCAAGTAGAGCCTGCTTCTTCTGCGCAGCGGAAGCTGTCTCGCCGCCATCGATAGCATCAGCGATGTCGGTGTACAGGACGTAAGCAGCGTACCGCGGAACGATGTGCTTCGCGAGGGAGAGAACAGTGCCGGGGTAGTCGACGGGCAACTGCCATTCGTCACAGTTACCGACGGCCGCAGGCATCTTCCACATGGCGTCGAGGCCCTTGTTCGATGTGCCTAGATAGCGGAGGTAGTCGGCAGCATATTGAACGTCGTCGAGGTTGACATCTTGGGAGACGCCGCTGTCGACACCATAGCAGACACGCTGCTCGGTCTCTCCGCAATTGCCTTGGGCTGTGAGAGCGGCACCGGCCGCAGCCGTACTGAAGGCGGCCAGAAGATTGATGATAGATATTTGCTTCATTGTGAGATACGAGGTGTGTTTGTGAATTGGCAAGAAGTAGTACAGAGCGGGTTGTGATTACTGACCCAATTGTGGATGATCCATTCTTCTTATGTCCTCCGCTTCCCAAGAAGCATTGTTGCGATCGCCTTGATTGCAAGTCTCTCATGGTGCACACGGGATCCTCTAACAGACCATAAAGAGGTGCCGAATGATATGCCCACGCAGCCGCAAAGTATGGACATCCAACATCTGATACCGAGGGGTATGCGCCACTACGTTACATCGCGATATTCACCGAGAGCATCCACATGTACCTCATGAGATCTCCACTATGACATGAAGCACCGGCTCGCAAGTTCCCGGCTGCGTCGCACGGGTCAATCTGACTCGAAAGTCAGAGAGCATCACGGTAGCTGCCCTTCAAGAAATGTTGGTCAAAGTTCAACGTCTCATCTCATCACGACTGCGCCCACATTGCGGCGTGGTTTTCGGTGTGTTACGTCCCGTCGGGTGCACGAAAGTAATGAATCCTGCAATGTGATATCGATTGCGGCGTGCAGAATCACTCTTGGCGTGCAGAGGATGATTACAATGCAAGATCGTCGGATTACTGCCAAACTAGCCCCCAGAAACAGTGGGTCAAAATGTTGGCCTCGTGCCTCGGCAAGCGCGCATGCATCAAGAACGGTACGATAGTGGTCCTTGGGCGCCAAACAGACGACCACAGTTCCGGACGTGGTGTGTCCACAACACACTTTTTGTTTAGCCACACCATGGAGGTTTTCCGAGTTATAGCTTTAATTCGAGCTTATCAGAGCTTTCGCTGCGTAGTATGTTATTTGTACGTAAGTGCTCTTTATCTGAATCGAGTAGATTTCATCGAAGCCAGGTGGACTTTCGTAGAGAATGACGGCAAATTTAATCCGAGATAAGCAGGTTTCGCGCGTAGAGCTCCCAGATTTCGTATACAGATTTCTCGAGAATAGGTAGATTTCGTCGTAAATAGGCATTACTTTTCGAAAATACGTACATGTAGACACTCATAAAACGTCAGCCCGAGACTCAGCGATACAAAAATTCGGGTTTTTGCATCGTAAAGAATCGGAATTTCGTGTAGAGTCGATATTCGGCGGGAGCTGAATAGACTCAAATTGTGGCTGTAGCGCGGGAAAATCTCCTTGGTGTGGCCAAACACAGAGTGTGCTGTGGGCATACCACGTCTGTCGTCGGCCCCAATTCCTGCGGACGGCGCAAGCCTGACCAATCACGTCGCGCAAGCGGAGGCCTTGAGATTTCAATGCAGATCATGGCTTGCGCTTTGTGGATCATGCCAATCCGTGCGCTTGGCCCCGCCAGCGGCGCGTCTTCTCATCACTCTGCGTGCACCCCAAAATTGTGTTGGTTGGATCAGACAATGAGTCCTCACCTGGTCGATCGCAACTCAAATCGCTATTTCCGATACTACTGTCGTGTTAGTCGCAGTTCGCCCCACGCTAACGTGCCGCCGGCCAATGAGGATGTCCTGAGAGACTCAAACTGGTTGGTGTCAGCAGTGCACCTGATTGAACGAAAGGGTAACATCGCGTTGCTCGAAATAGTAATTCGCGCACCGACTGCCCAGCAACGTCAATGACTCGAAAGTCACCTGCATGTCTGTCACGACCTTTCTCGAAGGGTTGCTGGATGATTGTGGTGGTGTACAGCTGTGCCGCCGAGCAGGATGGCATGTGTTGGAAACTTTGTCGTGCAGCAAAGAATATCTGGCCCCCGGCCTCAAACGATCGACACACTTGACTCGAACTTCTCACCCGTCTAACAGATTCGTTTGCACTTCATCGTGAAGCTGCAATCTCTTTTCGAACACAATATTCTTTTGTCCTTCACGTGCTTGTACAGAATTGCGATCATCAGCATGGCTCTTATCGTACGATCTCTGCTCATCATACAATGCGTAGCAATCTGTGTTTCGGCTCTTGCACCAAGGAACGAGTGCCAACCTGCTACATTCAATAACAAACGCAGTTCCATCGGAATTTCGGCGAACAATGTCAATTGCAGGTATACGACCATGACTAGTAAACTAGTCAGCGAATTCACCTGCAGTGAGATCGTGCAGAAGTATCAGATCGCTCTGAGAGATTTCCACGCTCTCAATCCTGAAATTGGATCAGACTGCAAGAACGTTCAGCCAGATACAGCCTACTGCGTCTTTGGATGTAATTAGAAAACCAACGCCACTGGAAATCATGCTAATTGTCATAACCTAGTCATGGAACCCCTGCGAGCCTGGGATGGGAAATGTGGCCCGAGTCACGGAAACGCCTCATGCTTGGGAACTGATAAACAATGCTGCAACTCTAAGACATTCACCTGTGGCAATTCGCAGTGGGTTTCTCTATCTAAATGTGCTGGCCAACATGAATATCTCAAGCTGACACTGTCACAACAGGGAAGACTGCGCGACTGGTGTTTGCTACTCTGGAGCCTGCCAAAGTGCGCTTCAGTTTGGGTATTCCCTCGATGGTAAATGTGGTCCAGCTCACGATAACAAGATCTGTGGTGGGGTTTGGGGAAGCTGCTGCAACAAGAATGGCCAATGTGGTTCAGGAGACGGCTTCTGTACCGACGAAAATTGCTTTTCCGGAGAATGTGTTCGCACACCCGAGCCTGAGAGACGCCCTGTGCCGGGGGTGCAAATACAGGCACCATGGCAGGTCGGTTCGACCCCAGACGGCACCTGCGGCGGACCGAATCATTATACGTGTGATGTGGTCTTTGGAACATGCTGTGGGTCCAAGGGCGTATGTGGATCTGTACAACAATGTGATGAAGGCTGGTGAGTGCTCAACCCGATATGCTCTGTTGAAGTCGAGACCCTTTGCTACGACATACTGATCTCTATTACAGTCAAACGCGCTATGGAAAATGTAACAATGGATCGGCGGTAGTGTATCATGGTGATTATGGTCGCTTTTGAGATGGAAATTGCACACTGGCGACTACTCGATCAAATAAAACTCTCATCGCTGTCAAATACATAGGTTGTTTGAGAGCATTTCAAGAATCATCATAATGCTGTCACAGATCATTCGGTAAATGTTATATTTAAGCAGTATTTGTCCAGGCAATTCAGGTCTTCGCTTATGAATAAGATATATCAGTCAAGACTACCTGCTTCGTGCCATTTCGACTCAAACATTAAACTCGTGAGAGTTGCTGTACCGATTCAAAGTATTGGATTTGAACTTGATTTGGCATGGCTTTGATCGTTGGAGTTGCCCACTTGAATCGGAGACAGCTTGCTTCTTGGTCCACGAGATGCTTAGTAAATCCTGTACGCATGGGTTGAGGTGTACACGATTGAATGGATCAGACTCGAGTCATTTGTGACATTTAGAGTTTTGGGTCCCACTTAATGTCTGCGCCCGCCCCGCCCGGCACCAGTAGATAATTTTGAATATGCTTTCCACAGCACTTCCGACCGGTCTTCGTAGTGTCAAGTATGAAACTGACCGAATGGCACAGTACATCCTACTAGCGGATGTTGGTAAAATCTGAATGGGGATTGGTCCTGATAGAGAGGCGCTTGGCGCCTGATGTGAAATGATGTGGTGTTGTTGCCATGTAGTCGTCCAACAACAGGAACGTGCAGACTTGGACCGGCCTAAATTCGCCGAAGCTAAAGCAATTAGCGCCATGCATGATGTTCACGGTGAAGCGTACATCCTTGGCACTTGTGGACGAGCAAAATGCTGCGCCACTGAAACATGCAAATGTAGACCCATCATCGCCCGTGCTCGTCACGACGTGCCTTAGTCCTGTCCTATCGAGGGTGGGAAAATAGCTCGTGGAATCCTCCATACCCACCCTTCGTACCGCGTTTGACGGGTCTAAGCGCGTTCTTGGCCAACCAGAAGCCAGGTCACAGGTCACACTTGATCGCGAGCACGAGTACATGCATAGTTCGACCACTCATGCGTCACGGCCGTCATGCCGTCAAAATTGCTCCATGGTTCCGCGCGCGACTTCGACTCGTGCGGCATGTTGGTGGACCAACACGACCACTGCCGATAGCTTTAGATTGTCGTACGGCACGATGTAATCCTACCAGCTCATCACACATGCGCGCCGTCGGAGAGTAGGATCGAGCTGCACCTCTGCCATATGATCGCCCTGGAGGCATATCAATGGGGGTTTCGATGAATTGTTCAACGTGACATGCCCAGGCATGATTTGACGGCAGTCGGGCTGATTTATTATATATCACCCCCTCTTCCCAATGATCTTTGACAACACAAGACAATCTCAGCTTCACCCTTTTCCCAAGATGATTCGTTCGCGCTTGGCAGACCTTGTTTTGAGTCTTCTGTTGTACCATGTACACTTTGCCACAGCACAGAGATGGCGTCAGACATTCTCCACGCCTGCTGCAAACGGCGTTGCTCAGACTTGCTGGCAGCCGGATGCCGGTTCCCCTTGCGTTCCACCCGTCCAGACGAGCAAATCGTTCTTCCTCGAATACAATTGTTACTACATGGAGAACATCTGTCAAAATGCGCGTCTGTGGCTCGCCGGTCACATGGTCGCTAATCAAGTTCGAACCGAATTTGCCTACGATTACAAGGGTTCTCGAAGAGACAATCGCAGAGACGAGTCGTGTCCGCGCACTTGGATCAACAATGGCAGATGCCCAGAGAGGGGTATGCCTGGCCAGGCAAGATCATATCGCTGGAACAGAGTGACCAGCACTGGTGAATTTTGGCCGACCGTGGATCTTGCACCGGGGTCCAACAATCTTATCGCTGACGACGCGACCGGTAGACCATCTGAGATGATCTATTCCTGCGATGAGTTTCCCCCGGCGACTTGGATCCAGGGCGGATTGGGGGCGAACACGCGTTGCGCAGCGTTTCGATGCGACGGAACCCCTTACTCTTCAGAGCAACAATTTCAGGCAATCTCTCATGGAGTCTTGCGAAGCTTCATGCAAGGCCGAGTCCCTAGATTCGACATCAACACTGAAGTCGTGATATTCTTCTTCCGCATGACAAATGCGAACAACGAAATTCCCGTAAGCATCGGCTATACAGACGGTCTCAATCCAGGCGAGGAGATCGCTAGTCCATTCACTGGTCCATCGAAAAAGCGCGGCATTGAAGGCGCGGAGAGTATCTGGAACGGAAACCTTACATTTGACCAATGGATCGACTGGGGAAACTCCGTTACCATGGACGAATTGCGTCAGAATCACGGATTGATTGAGCATCACATACTGGTCAACGACACTAAAAATGATCCAAACTTCATGCTGCGTCGTGAACTCGGAAATGATATCTTCGGTCGATGGACGTCTGAATTTGATGATGCGAGGACGTTCGATGCGAAGATCGATTTCATCGGGCAAAATATCTCTTTCTTCGCAGAGCAGCAAGCCAACCATGTTGTCCCAAGCCAAAATTCACGAAGGCATCAGATTATCGAACACCCCGTTGAAAAGTTGCTCTCGTCGATACATGGGCGGGAGAGTACATCAACACCACTTTTGCTCAACGTCACCGAGTCCGCTCTTCAAAGGGCCGTGCGAATCGTGGAGCAGGCCATTTCCGATGCCACTCGACTCAACGCAGCTCGTTTCGAGAATGTAGCCCGGAACAAATACGGGCTCGCGCCTGGGACAGTAATTGGAGCGTCCGGCGGCGTCAAACGCCGAAAGCGAAATGGTCCTAAGGGCGTACGAGATGACCAAGACAGCTTGTCCTTACCCCCTCCTCCTCCACTGCTCGACGTCACAGCAGACCTTGCAGCTGCAGCCGCTTTGGTCGCCGAGGCAGACGCCGCTGGCATCACTGGACTGAATGTATCCAGGAGCTTGCACTAGCGGGCGACCGCGGGCGTACAGGTAGGCTCATTCTGGATGGAAAGCATCGCACGGAAAGGCACCGTACCATGGGGAAATGATCCCAATTACAAAGTCTTCCGTAATGTAGTCGCAGACTATGGAGCCAAAGGAGACGGAAAGACAGATGACACGGCTGCAATACAAAATGCAATGAACGACGGCAAGCGATGTGGAGAGAACTGCCATGGCTCAACCACGAAGAACGCCATTGTCTATTTTCCACCCGGCACATATCTAGTGTCTAAAACCATAGAGATGCCCTTTGGCACACAGCTCATCGGCGATGCTGTAAATCGTCCAACCATTCTGGCAGCATCGCGGTTAGTGTCGACAGAATACCTGGGTTATGGATGGTAGCTGATCACGTTCTTAGGTTCATTGGCCTCGGCGTCATATCAACAGACAAGTACACCGGAGGCGGCGCCGGGTCTGACGGTCTCGACGAGGAGTACTACGTCAACACGGCCAACTTCTACCGACAAATTCGAAACGTCATTATTGATGTCAGCGGAACACGTCCCGTGCAAGGTGTGTCCGGAGTCCACTATCAGGTTGCTCAAGCTACATCAATGCAAAACGTCGATATCATCGCCAAAACCGGGACAAATCAGCGCGGGATGTTCGCCGAGAACGGAAGCGGAGGTAAGATATAGTTGGCTTCAGCACAATATCGATGTTTCTCTGCTCACTGATATATCAGGTCAAATATCGGACGTCAACTTCAAAGGCGGCAACTTTTGTATCTACGGTGGTAATCAACAGTTCACAGCACAGCGCCTGACATTTGACGGTTGCGATACTGCTGTGCGGACGATCTGGGATTGGGGCTGGATCTGGAAGTCTATCACCGTGAAGAATACTCGCATCGGATTCCAACTGCTGTCCGATGGCAGTATGACCACGTCTTCTTCATCAGTCAAAGCTTCCTCAGGAAATATTGGATCTGCATCCTTTGTTGACTCGAACTTCGTCAGCGTCGGCACGGCAGTGATGATAGCACCGTTGAATTCTGCTCCTGGAAGCGGGAGTACAGGCGTTATCCTAGAGAACGTGGGTTTCAGTGGCGTCACCGTGGGCGTGGCGGACTCAAGTGGGAAGACTATACTGGCAGGAGGCGATCAACGGCTGAAAGAATGGGCCACGGGCCCCATGTATCTGGGCGGCGGCCGTCGCTTCGTATCCGGTGAGACTGTTCCCGCCTATCCGCGACAAGCAACTTTGCTCGACACAAGCAAGCCAAATTCGCCATACTATGAACGCGCGCGACCCCAGTATGAGACCAGGTCGGCTTCTGATTTTGTGCATCTGAAGGACCTGGGCGCCAAGGGTGATGGCATCACAGACGATACCGCCGCGGTTCAGCGGGCACTTGACAACAACATCGGTAGAATTCTCTTCGTCGACGCCGGGACCTATATCCTGACTGACACAGTGACTATCCCGGCGGGATCTATTCTTGTGGGTGAGACGTGGTCGCAATTTGCAGCCTCGGGAGACAATTTCAAAGATGCGACAAAGCCAAGAGTCATGCTGCGAGTCGGTAGATATAGTGACATCGGCAGTGTCGAGATGCAAGACTTAATATTCACCACCCAAGGCCCTACTGCAGGTGCAATCCTCGTCGAGTGGAACATCAAGGCTGGCTCTCAAGGTTCAGCGGCGCTGTGGGACTGCCATGCTCGTGTCGGTGGCGCCATTGGCACAAAACTTACGGACAAAGAGTGTCCCGCCATCACAACCGGTACCGATCCGGGTTGTCAAGGCGCCAGTATGCTCTTTCATCTAACTACACAAGCGTCTGGATACTTCGAAAACATGTGGCTCTGGACTGCAGACCATAACATTGATGATGTGGAACTCTCGAATGCCAAGAACCCAATGATTCAGAACAGCGTGTACAGCGCTCGTGGTATGTTAATCGAATCGCGGGAAGCCACATGGTTGTACGGCACAGCCTCCGAGCACTCTGTCTGCTATCAGTACAACTTTAATGGTGCCAGCAACATCTATGCTGGTATGGTTCAAACAGAATCGCCATATTACCAGCCCGTTCCCAAGCCACCAGAACCCTTCGCCAACGCAGTGGGCCAATTTGCTGGTGACCCGACTTATCGCTGCGGAAATGATTTCGACGGATGCGACGCCTCTTGGGCAATCATCGTCCGAAAGAGCGAAAACATCCACTTTGCAGGAGCAGGGGTGTATTCCTGGTTCTCCAGCTACACTCAAGATTGTATCGACTCACAAACTTGTCAAAAGGCACTCATACTTGCAGAGAAGAACAAGGGCAACGTCCGATTTCAGCATCTCATCACAATTGGAGCCAAATACATGATCGTCCAAGATGGCAAGGGTATCACTGCAGCCGACAACCTCAACGTCAAGAGTCATCCGCGTTGGTCACAGATAAGTATCCTGGACCTAGCGTTTGTTAAAGCCGATCATCAATCACCATTCAGCGCAACGGTCATCCCACTGCCGCATACGACCGTGCCACCACGATCTACCCTGACACTCAGCGAACCGATTCAATCTGACATCGTGCAGCTTCCTTACAATGGCAATCAGAATGATGCTCCAGGACCTGGCGTGAGCTCATGCAGTGCATGCAGTTTCTTCCGCCTGATCACATCGACTTGTTGTGGTACTGGAGGTAGTCTTGGCAATCCTCTCTTGATTCCGAAAGGAGTGACAACATATATTCCCATCGAATTGCCAGCCGGATTTGTGCCAGGGCAAGCATTTGTTGGGCAAGATGGAGTCACGTATCCTAAAGGTGTCGCACTGCCCCGGAATGTGATCATCCCGGTCGGCACGACTTTCGCGAATGGGTTCACGATTCCAGCTGGACAAGCTCTCGCTTCGGGCGAGGACAACGGACCACCTCCAGGAGATCTCATATGGATTGATCCCAAGATCTGGCAACAACCTAACCCGAAGGTAGCATGTGATATATTTCCATGCACATTCAAGTTTCCTCCCTGGACAGGCGCTACTAGCACGTTAGACTATCCGAAGATGACGGTCACCAATGGCACATTTACAACGACCATCACACGAGGTCCAATAACCATTACAGAATGGATATTCGATCCATACACAATTTCGGCTCCAAGTCAATCAACCACGTCATTTGCTGCGCCGCAGGCAACGACAACATCTTCTACTACAGTCGCACCGATATTTTTCATCTGGCCACCACCACGCTTTGGGTCAACGTCAACGTGGCCGTGGGTGACTTACACACAATCTGGGATTGTTATGTCTACACGTCCGCCTACAACGGGTAGCGCGACGGGAGGAAAAGGAACGGGGGGTGGTGGCGGCGTCGGAGTTGTGCCCACACCTCACCCTCCTCCTCCCCCGCCAGGGCCATCGCCGCCACCTCCTCCAACGGGAAGTTGGCCCGTGGCAACCATTACAGTCTACCCGCTGCGGCCGAGTCCAACAGTGCATGATTGCGATTTTCCTGACCCGGAGTGTCCAAATCCGCCCGGCAAGACAGATGGACCCGGGTTCACGATGCCTGAACCCCAGCCTGGAGAGGTTGACGATGATGACGAAGACGATGATGAAGAAGAGGGAACGTGCCCGCTTGTGTCGAACGGCGGTGGCTCTGGAAGTGGGGGTTCTGGCGGAAGCGGTTCTGGTGGAGGTGGTGGGGGAAGCGGTGGTGGGAACAACGGTGGAGGCGGAGGTGGAAGCTCTTCACCGACACCGACCTACAACAATCCCGATCCTGGTACTAATACGGTCGACTGTTACAACTCGGGACAAACAGCAAGCAACGAACAAATGGCACTGGCCGCCGACTGATTCTGCAGCTATAATCTAGCACCGGCAGCGAAGACCATGTCCACATTCGGCCCCGGCTATACCGCATTCGCAAAGAAGAATCCGAACGGCGCGTCAATTCGCATCGAGTTCAATTTTGAAGTCCTTGCTGGTTGCGCATGGAAGTTCGACATGGAGCAGTGTCGAAAATACTTTCGCGTACCGATCGATTCTTGCAATTGCAACGGCTTCGATGGCAAACAAGGCGGAGTTGCGAGGAATAACTGTCTCGCGTGGCGTGTCGACCCCAACACCGGCACTTAAGAGCAGGCTTATTTCACCAGGTTTGCGGTGGGCGGTGCGAATCAGCTCCGCTTCGATCAAGAGAAATTATTTAGATATGGAAGATAGCGGCTGAGTTTGTAGACATGAAGCGATATATGTCACAAGAGGGTTCTTCTGGGCCTTCGGGTACGATAATGATTCGACATGACGAATAGAAGGTCACGTGAGTCTGCCCACAATACAAATAATTCTTTCCTGTCTTATTATTTTAATTGATTTTATGCCGAACTCAGCCAGTGCGTACCCCGCCTGGGAGAGTCTGTCGCTCGGCACCAACTCGTTGCTGGTCAACGATGATACCGGATTGGACCCTGCCCTCGATTTCTTACGACTCAGATGGAATCTGTCGCACTCTGCAGTACAGGTCTTGGATAACGCTGCTGATTTGCAAAACAGAAACAGCCGCAAGCCTTTTAGCCAAGATGATTCCTATGCACAGAGCTCAATCTGCGAGACTCCGATCAGCACCGTGGCGATCTCTATCTATGAACTTGCGGAATGGCAACGTATCTGGAAGAAGGGGCATGATAGTCACTTTTATATTCTCAAAACCACTGGTGAAAATTCTTGTGGTTGTAAGCCTGAAGATGCTCCAGCCAGCCCGATACTGACCATTACCGCTCCCGATAGGAAATTTATAACAATTAGGCAATATGTTCAAGAAGTATTTCAATGGCTGCAGAGTCTCGAGCAGCCGCTCAGAGAAGCGATTGGACAATTCAACTACCCTCTTGATCCGGAATGGAGCCTCACACCCATGCCGCTGATTAATCGTGTATTCATCTATAATGACAGACCCGGAGCTAATTTGGAAGCAATGGAGTATGCCTCAAAACAACGCGAAACGATTGCTCATCGCAAAAGTCGTGACAAGGAGATCGAGGCGAATCCTAGCCTCGTTGGAGCTACTGACTGTGCTTCTTTGAAATTATACCTGCCTTTGACAGGGCAGACACAAATGCCGCTCTCGTTGGAATTCTCTCGACTGCAGTAGACGTTGTTATCGGATGCTGCTTCACCCGCCGTTTTCGTCGTCAACGATCCTACCGACGCCGCTGAAGCCGTAAATAGAGAAGCTTTCAGTTCCGAGAACCTAATCGCCGCTGCATCGATCGGCGAGCGGCCGGTCTCCGCGGTGACGGTCTCGGTGGATGTGCTCGACCAATTCTACGATGGATGGTGCAACCTACACTCCGAGGACGACCCAGCGCCTGATTTTGACAGCGTACCCTGTCCGCCAGATTAGAGACGGCGTTGTATCGCCTGCAATGAAGACTCTCCTCGTCCTGGTCCGGGTCCTCGACTATTCGTCTAAGCACCGTCCCGGTATCATTTCGTCACTATTAGTCAGTATGTCCGCGAAGTGCTCCCTTGGCTGCGAGAGCTGGAGCCGCAGATCCGACGAGCGATTATCGGAGGGACGCAGACCATCAGCGAGCATGAATCTCTGCAGCCGAAGTGGGATATCGTGCCTTTCGTTGCAAATTGTGCGTTGATACAGATTTGTCATAATGAGCCAAGGTATGGGCGGCAAATTCTGGAAGGTATGAAGAAGAGACGGGCCTTGCAGATTAAGCAGCGTCAACAAGATGCAAAAGCGTGAAATGCACAAATCAAAGCGAAGTCTACGAAGCATCCCTCTTCTCCTCGACGTGGTGAAAGAGTCTCCCACAGAGCTGGGTCATGACGCTTGTTGAGAGGCTGAATTGGTGTTCATGCTCTGCACAATCAAGTTTAGATACAATATTGAATACGGATCAAAACACGTTTGTAGGCCTATACGCAGGCCGATGTTACAGCTCAATGACCGTGCTTAATTCTTTTCATGCAACAGTCTGTTGGAGAGAAAATTCTCCATCGGGAATGTCGACTGCAGATCAGACTTCTGAACAAAGACACTCTTGAGGTCGATTGTCAAGGAAAAGTCTGCCGAATGCTGGAGGTAGGTCATGTCATGCATACCGAGAGCTTCAGGGATATTTCAAGACTGCCAGGATCCAAAACGGAGCACTGCATTGCTGCAGCTCGGTGCCTCTACAAGCAATATATGCCTGGAATTGCGAAGAAGGCGTAATAGTTTTGCGAGTTAATCCTACTCACGGATAGAACAATAACCCATCGACCAAAGCAGAAAAAAGCGTACGTAGTTAAGAAAGCATTCAAGAACCAAAATAAATGAAAAAGAAAAATGAAGAATTTTCAAGTTAAATACATCCATTCCATCCATCCATCCGTCCCCTCATCCATCCATCCATACGGCAAGCAAGAAGAGACAAGCAGAGACAAGAAATGATCAGCTCCGCCACCCAACCCCCGCCAAAGACATTTTTTGTTTCGAATCCACCTTTCTCTCACGAGAGAAAGAAAGTAAAAGTCGCACAAAAAGACACACCTCCTCTCCTCTTCCGCTCGTGTATGCTCGGTTTGCGAATCTCTCTCTCTCTCTCTCTCTCTCTCTTCTCTCTCTCTTCTCTCTCTCTTCTCTCTCTCTTCCTCACTCCTTGCCGTCCCCTGAAACCCATCCGCTGCGTCTCCTTCTCCCATCCCCTTCGCCAATCTGATGCGTACGTCCGTCCGTCCGTTCTTTCCGTGTGTGTATGTATGCGCCCCCCGAGACTCTCCCCGATGAACACGCAGGGGTCAATGCTGCCATCCGCAAAACCACGCAAGACAAGAAAGGGAAAGGAAAGAAAAGAAAAGAAAAAAAACAAAAAGAAGAAGAAGGAAAAAACCCAAGAGCCTGCACCGACCCGACCAGACCGACCGAACTGAACCGAACCGAACCGGACGCCATCGCTAACCCTTTTTTTGTCAACCCTCAATCAACAACGCGCCCCCTCTCTCTCACGCCTTACGCATTTTTCCCGTCCTTGAAAATGTGCTGCTCGATTTTCGCCCCTCCTTTTCCAGCCCGGCCCCCAATGCAAGATTTTTGGTGTGTTTGTTTGTTTTTGTGTTTTCTCCCTCTCTCCTCCTATCAAGTCCTCCGGGCCCCCGATGTGTTCTTGGGAGGAAATAGATTCCTGTCGTATGTTGAGAAAACAATGTGTTGCTTTGACAAATTTCAATTTTCATGTGTGGGTCCCTTGCTTGCTTGCTCATCCTCCTCCTCCTCCTCCTCCTCCTCACCGGACTATTGCGGAGATTTCGCATCCCCCCTTCCCCCCCTCCGGGGACCCTCGCCCTCATTGTTGATGCCAAGGTTGTTCATGCCCGAGGAGAGGAACGAGAACGGATCGGAAGAACCATTCTCTCCGCCTGCGCCTCCACTGGCACCGGCGCCTCCAGCGGAGGAGTAGCCATTGTGGTTGTTAGCATTGTTACCGCCATTGTTATAGTGGCCGTTGGGAGGAGGATACTGCTGGTGGCCACCGGCGGAGTTGCCATGGTTGAAAGCCTGTTCGGCGCGGCTGTCGAAACCACCTTGCGCGGCGTGGCCAGCGGCGGACATATGAGGTGGATATCCACCACCGCCGCCGCCCATGTATGGTTCTGTCCCGCGATGCCCGAGGGCAGGGCATACGTCGACGGCGGGCCGAAGGACTAGGCGGTGCCAGCGCCAAAGGGGCCCGGTGGTGGTAGGGGGCCGCCGGGGGGCATGCCGTTACTGGGATAGGGGCCGAGCGGCGGGGGAGGTTGCTGTTGCTGTTGTTGTTGGGACATGATGGGGTTGTAGGAGGTAGGGTCCATGGAGTGCTGCATGTTGGGGGGAGGGTGGCCGGGGTAGGAGTGGTTGGGGGCGAAAGTTGGTGCACCGTTGTTACTGTTGTTGTTGTCGGCGATGACGGCGGCGTTGCTGCGGGAGGAGCCGCAGCGGAGGCAGTTGATGTTCTTGGCGAAGTTGTGGTAGGCGCAGGTTTCGTTGCCGCATTTCCAGTCGCCGGCGCGGAAGGGCACGACGCCGCCGCGTCCGCCGCCGGAGCCGCCGCTCATGTTGCCGCCGCCGCCCATGCCGCCGTATCCGGGTCCGCCGTGGCCGTGTCCGCCCATCATGCCGGAGGGCCCGCCGTAGTTGGGACCACCGCCGTAAGGGCCAGGTTGCATTCCGTAGGGCTGCTGGCCGTAGGGGTCGGGTTGAGCGCCCATGGCGGGGAAAGAGCAGCGGAAGCAGGCGGTGCGGCGTTGGAAGTTGGAGAAGCCGCAGCTCGGGGAGCTCCAATCTCCTGGACGCGGTCGGTTCTTGGACGGCGGGAAGGGAGTGAGAAGTGGTGGACCGCCTGGAGGTTGGGATTGGGCGGCACGGTCCAGGACTCGACTGGATGAGGGTGAGACCTCGATGGCGCGGTCGTTTAATGCTCGTCCGTTCATGCTGAGCGATTCAGCTGCCTGTGTTCTCATGTTGTTAGTTTGTGGTCGTTGTGGGAAATAGCGACCATGGATGGGTCTCGGCAGAAAAGCTGCCATGTTGAAAGGTCGGTGATGGGGGCAAGCTATGAACAAACACTCGCAAATGCCCTTAAGCCATGATCGCCAGTGAACTCGAGAAGCAAGCGACAGTCATGCCCCAATAGTTCAGAAGCATATAGCCGTGTTTGCAAGGTCATGAGAACAGTGGGGCATCTTCGACACAACTTTCACCGCCGCCAACACGGCTGCCCAACAGCCGGAAGAACTCAGGTCGCACAACATAAACGGAGAAAAATCCGGTGTGCGTAAGAAAAGAAAAAAGAAGACGATAACTGGAAACGGGATCGCCCACACGAAACAAAGGGGACACGAAACACAACATCACAAACACGAATGGAAGCATAAAAAAAAAGACGTGACACAAAAACGTACCTCTTCATGGCTCCCAAACACCACAAACCCACTCCCGCTAGGTTTCCCACCCTCGGGGGTCCGCAGGGTCCAGAACGCAATCGGACGACCACCATACTGTGTGAACCAGCTCTCCAATTCCGACTGGGTGGTATCATGCGGGAGACCGCTCAGATGGAGCACTTTGCTGCGTTCGCCGAGGAAAGCGCGGACATCGCTCCGGGCATCCAGCGGACGGGAGAGGATGCCCTCGGTGCCTTGAGGGTTGCTCGGTGAAGGCCGGGATTTGACCAGGAGGGAGTTCAAGCATCGGGAGAGGGTCAACGCCTCCTCTAACGCACGGCGAGGCGAGGTGGGAGCCAGGGCTTGCAGGTGGAAGGGCAGTCCGCCCGTGACCTTCCCGGAGGAACGCACCTCCTCGACCTCCAGACCCGCACAGATGGACGACAGGCTCGACGAGCTGAAAGCCAGAGTCTCGGGGTGTTGGGATTAGAACATCTGGTATTCGGACCGGAGGCCGAAGAGGATCGGGTGCTGCAGGTAAGGCGGGAGGACGACGTTCTTGTCCCGCGCCTCGCGGGGCAGTTACACGCGGAGGTCCCAGGGCGTGAGGGTCACGAAGGCGAAGGAGGGGTGTGCGCCGGGGCCGGCGTCCTTGGGGACGAGGTGCTCGCTGGCGTAGGTGTCGAAGGCGTTGATGGCGTCGCGGAAGGTGCCGGCGTTCTTGACGTGTTCCCAGGTGAGCGTGGTCAGGGAGGTGTAGAGCGGCGTGATGGGGGTGTTCACGGGTCGGACCAGCACGGATTGACGGTGGAGCTGCAGCGATCATGAAAAGTCAGCAAGTTGACCTTCTCTCTTCGTTTCTCTCTCTCTCTCTCCTTGTAATCATCTTGGTGTAATTTTTCCTGCTCTCACTCTTTCTCACATACCTCTCGTTCCGGGTTCTTCGCGTCTATAACAACCCATCCAATCTTAATGACCTCCGCACTGTCCTTTGTCACGTAGACTCCATGCTCATCACAAGTCGTGGCAATGTGAATGACACAGTACCTCTCGAACGGCGGGTTGGTGGTGGGTTGCTGCTGCTGCTGCTGCTGTTGTTGTTGTTGTTGTTGTTGTTGGGACTGCTGCTGTTGGTGCTGCTGCTGTTGATACGGAGTCACCGAGTTGGATTGAGAGGACCTCTCGACCGAGTAGCCCGGTTGCGATGCTGATGAGCCGGTGACTTGTGATGCTGGGGTTGGGTATGCATTGTTGCCATAGGCCTGGCCTTGCGTCGGTGTTGACATTGTGGGAGCGTGTGTGTGTGTGTGTGTGTATGTGTGACGTTTGATGAAGCTGCCACGGATGACGTTTTTGTTTGGTTCTAGGGAGGAGGAGGAGGGAATGCCGGGTGATGTCGTTTGGTGTAAGTACACAAGACAGCTCTGTGCGAGAAAGGCATGTTCTCGTGCGGGTTCGAGGTGAAATGTGTCAACATCGCTCGCTAGTATTCGGGTCGATTCGAGAAACTCTTGCACAGAGAAGTGGGCGAGTCGGACTTTGGCGTCCCGAGTGGCTTCGCCCGAGATCGGAAGTTCGATATAGTCTCTGTCTCTGTCATCGTCCTCTCTATCGGCCTCTTCAGTCTGAATTGTTACCAGTCCAGCGAGAACTGATAATGTGTCTGCCCAGCTGCCGCGATCTTCCATATCTACCGCACCTTCCACGCCCGCTTCGTCCGGGATCTGGATGATTGTCGCTTCTGCAAGCTCGTGAAGCGTCCGCGGCGATTGCGCATAGGTAATCCACCGGAGCAGCATGAGCGCATCGGCGCGATTATACTCTGAGATACTCCTTAGCATCCGTATGTATGTCTCGTCTAACGTTTTTGGTAAAGCAGACAAGGCTTGACTTATCACCTTCGGCTTAGTAGACTTGGTCTTCTTGAGCTCCTGAAGCTGACATACTGCCCATCTAAACCTGTTTACTCAAGCTATCATTAGCTCGAACCCCCATTCCTATGTTTGAGTCCGCATACTCACATGCCCTTGGCTTTTCGTGCAAGTGTATCTTCCACGAGCTTCTTACTCGGAGCAGGCCATTGGCGTAGCTGTGTATCTTCGGCCAGCTGCGTCGAAACATACTTCTGGATATCAAATCGACTCCCTGTCGATCAAGTCGTATCGCAACAGCCGCGATGCTTTCCATGCGAGACCGAATTTCTGGGTAGTCTCGACTCGTCGCGATTAGTCGCATCTCAGGGAATTCCTTTAAAAGCGTTTCCAGCGCAGCCAGAATATCGAGTCGCCCATCTTGCTCACCTAGACACTCATCCAGCCCGTCCAGATGGAGAAAGATCTGGTTGTACGATCGGACGATAGCTGTCAAGATTCGATACAGCTCGTTCATTCCAAGAACCTTGTGCTCCGGCCTCTCATACGCTTGGCGTAATAGCGAGAGTCCTGGTTCTCTGCAACCGAGCTGCACGACCATCGATCGGACGAGACTCTCATGGCTTTGCTTTGTTTGGTCAGAGAAGGAGAAATAGAAGACAGCTTGGCCAATGTTCGGATGACTACTAAATTTTGCTGATACATCCTCAATAGCTGTAGAACAAAGGATCGTCTTGCCGCTTCCTGCGGGCCCATGAAGCCAGAGATGATGATAATCGTCTGAGCCAGCTTTCCATGCTGGGTATGTCTCGCTTTGCAGTAGCCAAGCACCAGTTTCGGGCTCATGCTGCTTCCGAGCCGTCTGGTGGTTCTCCCACGGATCAGTCGGTGACACCCAGCTAGAGATCTCTCGGTAGTGCTTAGCTTGCCTCAACCCGAGCTCCTCGCGTTCTCGAATAGTAGCTAGAAGCCGATCCCTCGCCTTGCCCTTCTCGCCATAGATAACTGGCAGAGATACGTTCAAGATACCAAAAAGTGCATATGTCAGGTCCTCTTCTTCAGAAGTCTTTCTACTGTCCATCCATCGAAGCTTCTCACTAATGGAGTAACGAATGCTGCGCTGGTACTCTTTCAGCACCTCGAGTGGCACGTTGGTAATTTCAGCAATCGTTTTCTCCAAGCTATTACCGACCTTTGTGCCGGAGTATCCGCTCGTCGACGCTCCTTTATTTCCAACTACTTCCCAGCTCCGTGTCAAGAACACAACTGTACGCGGTGCCAGCAGCTCCTGCAGTATCCATCCTCTCTCAAACCATTCACTTCACTGAAGAGCCCCTTCATCACTAGCTTCTTCAACGTCCCGCAGGTATGCGAGGCAGATGTCTGCTTCTAGATACCATTCGAACATCAAGTTGATAGCTTTCGACAGCTCGGCTGCACTATCCTTGTTGATGCAGCACGTGTCGATCTACAGCCAATCGACGCCGGAAACGTGATGCTTAACATACTCAGCGAACTGTTTGACCTTCTTATAGCCTGTGGTCGATGTGTTCTGCGCATCTCTTACGTCTGCAAAAGTCGCCTCGTGCTCGTCCCACCGGTGAGATGCGATTGCATACGCAGGCCTTTTATTGTCGCTAAACTCTACGAGCTTCAAGTTGTGGATATTGAGCAGTCGCATAGTGAGTGGTAGTAGTGCGGGAAGTATTCCGACATGTCACATACCAATATTGTGTTGATGGCGGTCGTCAAGAACATGGAGTGCATTTCGCGAAGTGAAGCTAATGTGAGGTTGTGCTGCTAGTTCAATATGGTGCAGCTGCCACGCCACAAGACTTTATCGACGTGGCACAACTCGGAGCAACCCACGCTTGCGTGTCCACATGCTGTCGTCGGTTATGGCGGAGCTGCAGTCCGGACCCCGGCGCATGCCTGATGGTCATGATCAGCTACACAACCCTGCAATTACCCTTCATTTCGTGGGCTGATAGGGGAGATATTAATACATGCTACAGGCCAATTGCAACATCCCATAGGTGTGTTATGCTTGCAGAAGACGGAGAGTCACAAAAAGCAGCCGAGGTGAAGGATCGCGCAAGCAGAACTTCACCAAGAAATGCTACCATGCTTCGGACTCAAAGTTGTGACGAAACCGGATGGAATACGTCCAGCTATGCCTGAATGAAGACACATGAGAATATCGCCCTTTACCAGACTATGTAGCGCCGAAGAGCAATAAAATAATGCTTCGGTATCAGATGTTTGTTTCGGCACGCAGGGTTATATCTCAATTCGCCGTCGCGTTATAGAGAGGTAGGGGAAATCGTAGTTTTTAATCTATGTCAACATTCGTCTTAGGTAGATCCTATAAATCGTATTCCTCGCTCTACCTGATTTATTATTGTCTATAAATAATACTTCTTACTATGTCCGGAGCTAAGGCTAGGTTTTGGAACCTCTTGTTACGATCCCGTAACAAGGCACGGGGAACCAGTGAAGCTGGGCAGGAAATAGAGGAATGAGGGCCACTTATTCCTCGGACGACATTATGCGACCTCAACCCTAAATGTTACGTAACAAAAGATACGCGATGAGGTACGAAGAAGCGACATTCACGACGTCGCTTATCTTCCACAACGCGTATATAGCGCGCAAACAATGTTACGATCCCGTGACACGGCACGGCCAGGAAGGGAAGAGAGTGCAGAATGGACGAACGACACCCAGTCAAGACAGGTCGACGACATGCAACCATAACCCTAACATCACGTGACCAGGAAAGATACGCGACGAGGTACGAATGCGCGACATCCGCGACGTCGCGCATGATGTGCGACAACTACGACGTCGCACAACCATAACAGCATCGCACATGTCGCACAAGAAGTGCATTCCCTTTGTAGCTAACTTACATATATAGGTAGTACGAACGGACCTTATGTCTGTTCGTGTTGAACTCATGTTACCAACTTAACCATTGGAATCAAAGCCCCTTTCAGATATCCTGTTGCACCACTCATTCTCAAGAACCCCCTCGAGTAAACCGCCCTTTGGCAGTTGACCCGTAACAAACAACTATAGGCGCGCATGCGTATATCTCTTTTGTACCTAACTTACATATATAGTATAAGAGTAGTTATATATAGTAGCGTATAGAGGTACTAGCTACTAAGGGTAGTAGTCGTATTAAGACTAATTGCTACCCCGATACTATACGTATACGGGCCGTATAATATATAAAGCCGGCCGTAGGTTACCTAACTAGAAAGTTAGGTAATCTGTAGTATACGGCTCTAGATCCTGTATTTGTTCCTTATAATAAGAAGGATCCTTAGCTTAAGGAGGGGGATAGAGTCTATATACTTACAAAAAAATTCGGTATAAAGAGACTATCTAAGAAACTTAACTACGTTAAAGTTAGACCCTTCTTAATTACCGGACAAATAGGACTAGTTAACTATCGGGTCGTACTACTATCCGATACCCAAAAACACTAGATATTCTATATCTCTTAGCTTAAACTAGCTAACGCGGAAACTCCGCTACAAAAAACCTTCTACTAGGAAAACTTCGAAGAGGATATATTCGAAGTTAAGAAGATACTAAAACAAGATAGTTAGTAATACTTAGTTAAATAGAAAGGATACCTAGAAAGCGAAAATACCTAGGAACTACTTAAGAATTTAACAAACTACCGGCTACTACTAAAGGACTTCTAGTAGTAGAACCGCCGACTAAAATATCCTATTCCGCGGCGACGTTCCTAGCCGCTAACTACTCCTCCGGTAAGGTACTAAGATCGGAGGGATCGAAATTCTAGGACTCTATATTAACTACCGAGGTCGGGACCTTAGACGAGGGAAGTAACGACTCTACTTAAGTAGCCTCTATACTAGATACCTCGGTAATCCCCGTAGCCTTACGGGAATAGGCCTTATCTTCTTTTAACTTAGCGGCTATTACCCGCTTGCGAGCGGTACGAGCGCGGTTACGTAGCTTAATTACCCGAAGATAGGTACGAGTAACCTCTTCCTCGGCTTAAGTCAACTTATCGTCTAGGTCCTCTATTACGATCCCGTAACACGGTACGGCTAGGAAGGGGAGGAAGTACAGAATAGACGAACGACACCCAGTCAAGACAGGTCAACAACATGCAACCATAACCCTAATATTACGTAACTAGGAAAGATACGCGACGAGGTACGGATGCGCGATATCTACGACGTCGCGTATATAGTGCGACAACTACGACGTCGCACAACTACAACGGTATCGTACATATCGTACAAGAAGTGCATTCCCTTTGTATCTAACTTACATATATAGGTAGTACGAACGGACCCTATATCTGTTCGTGTTGAACTTATATTACTAACTTAACTATTAGAATCAAAGCCCCTTTCAGATATCCTATTGTACTACTTATTCTTAAGAACCCCCTCGAGTAAACCGCCCTCTAGTAGTTGACCCGTAACATCCTCTAACTTCTTAACTAACTCCGCGCAAAGATAGGCTAACTTCTCGAACTCTCGAAACGTTATACATAGGTCGTAAGGCTTATAAGTATCGTTATATAATTTGTAACAACCCGAGCGGATATTAACTAAGTACTTAGAACTAGAACGACGGTAATATAAATAAGGCGTCGGTATAAGGAACAAATACAGGATTTAGAGCCGTATACTATAGATTATCTAACTTTCTAGTTAGGTAACCTACGGCCGGCTTTATATATTATACGACCCGTATATATATAATATCGGGGTAGTAGTTAGTCTTAATATAACTACTACCCTTAGTAGCTAGTACCTCTGTACGCTACTATATATAACTACTCTTATAGTTAGTATCTTATTACGAAAACAGAGAATAGCTAATTCAAATTTGTTAGAACGTTAGTCCGTAGAAACAGGCTTTTGGGGTATAATTACGTATAAGGAAAGAAAGTATACTTCTCGATAGAACTTAAAAACAGAAGAGGGAGGTAGTATTACGATCCCGTAACGAGGTATAAGGAACTAGTAGGACTAGGTAGGAAATAGAGGAATAAGGGCTACTTATTCCTTAGACGATATTATATAACCTTAACCCTAAAACGTTACGTAACAAAGGATACGCGACGAGGTACGAATAGGCGATATCTATAACGTCGCTTATCTTCCGCGACGCGTATATAGCGTACAAGTAACTACAGACGCGTATATACGTATATCTCCTTTGTACCTAACTTATATATATAGGTAGGACGAGTAGACCTTATATCTACTTGTATTAAACTTATATTACTAACTTACCTATTAGAATATAGAGCCCCTTTCCTAATCCTCCTAAAACTACTTATTCTTAAGAAGCCCCTCGAGTAAACCGCCTTTAGTAGTTAACCCGTAATAACTTATTATAAGGAATCTTAGATAGTTCTCTAAACTTAATAATCTTTATAAAGCGAAATAGCTTATTACGTTAGAAAATAGAAGATATATTTAAGAAGGGAAGTATAAAACTACCTAGATAGTAATAACGAGTTGTAGCCTTAAGGATAAGACTTAACTAGAAGGGGGATAGTATTATAATCTAGCCCCGCTAATATAACTTAACCTAACTGTTACGATCCCGTGACACGGCACAGTAGAAGACAGAAGGGAACGACGACAGCCAGTCGTTAGAGGACAAGGACATGCGGCCACGAGCGTCAAAC